ATATAAGAATACTCTGTGCAGCAAAGCTTTCCTACAGAATTGAAGGAGAAATAGAATTTTCCAGATTAACAAAAGCTAAAGGAGTTTATCATCACTAAAATGGCCTTACAAGAAATTCAAAAGTGACTTCATGCTGAAAAAAAAGTTAGGTGGGTGCTAATTAGTAGTAAGAAAACATGAAATAATAAATTTCTCTTAAAAGATATATAGTAAAGGTAATGGGTTAATTAGTTATAAAACTAGTGTGAGAGTTAAGAGACCAAAGTAAAAATATCACTTCAATAATTGTTAAAGGATGCATAAGATAAAAAAGGTATAAAATGTGACATTAAAAACAATGTGCAGGGGCACCTGGGTGGATCAGTGGGTTAAGTCTCTGCCTTTGGCTCAGGTCTATGATCTCAGGGTCCTGGGATTGAGCCCCGCATCAGGCTCTCTGCTCAGCAGCGAGCCTGCTTCCGCCTCTCTCTCTGCCTGCCTCTGTGCCTACTTGTGGTATCTCTATGTGGCAAATGAATAAATAAAATTTAAAAAAAATGTGCAAAGGGTGAGTAAAAGTTTAGAGCTTTAGACTGTGATCAAACAAGTTATTATCTACTGAAAATAGACTTGTTATAATTTTTTGTATGTAAGCCTCACAATAACCACAAAGCAAAAACTTATAGTGGATACAAAAAAGATAAAGAATCTAAGCATACCACAAAATAAAGTCATCAAATCACAAAGGAAGAGAGCAGAGAAGAAGAAAAACACATAGAAAATTACAGACCAGCCAGAATACAGCTAACAAAATGGCAATAAGTAGAGCCATACCTCATGTTATTGTGTTTCACTTTGCAGATAGCGCTTTTTTTTTTTCAACTGATGAATTATGGCATTGCTGCTTTTTAAGAAACCTCCATGTGCTTAACTTTTTTTTTTTTTTTTAAGATTTTATTTATTTATTTGTCAGAGGGAGTGAGCACAGGCAGACAGAGTGGCAGGCAGAGGCAGAGGGAGAAGCAAGCTCCCTGCTGAGCAAGGAGCCCATGTGGGGCTGGATCCCAGAACCCTGGGATCATGACCTCAGCCGAAGGCAGCTGCTCAACCAACTGAGCCACCCAGGCATCCCTGTGCTTAACTTTTGACATTTAAATTATAATTTAAATAATTTGGGTTCTTATTTGGAACTCTCTGGGCTTCCTGGATCTAGATGTCTGTTTCCTTTCCCAGGTTAGGGAAGTTTTCAGTATTTCTTAAAAAATTTTCTGCTCCTTTCACTGTTCTCCTTTTGGGACCCTATAATGTAAATGTTAGCCCATTTGATGTTCTTCTATAAATGCCTTAAAATATGTTTAGCTTTTTCTGCATTCTTTTTTCTTTTTACTGCTCTGTTTAGGTGAATTCCACTGCTCTGTCTTCACGTTCACAGATCCTTTCCTGGTCTAGTCTGATGTTGAACCCTGTGTACTTTTCAGTTCAGTTACTGTGTCCTTCAGCTCTGTGACTTCTATTTGGTATCTTCTTATATTTTGTATCTCTTGGTTGAAGTTCTTACCATATTCATCCATTCTTCTCCTGAGTTCTGTGAGCATCTTTATGACCCTTACTTTGAACTCTTTTTTAGGTAAATTATTTATCTCCATTTCACTGAGGTTTTTTTCTGAGCTTTTATCTAAGTCTCTTGTTTGGAACATATTCCTCTGTTTCTTCTATTTCCTTGACTCTCTTGTGTACATTGTTATGCATTAAATAAAATAATCACATCTCTTAGTCTTGGAGGAGTGGCCTTGTGTAAAAGATGAGTCTTATCATTTAACCTTGCCCTAGCTCTTTGCTCTTTCAAAACTTTGTGATTTTCCAAGCAGTCTATTTTGTTTTTAATAACTCCCAGTATATGAGGATGTGCCAAGTCCAGTCATTGTTCCAAAGGGAGGATCTCAGCCAGCACCTAGATTCATGGTGGCTGGAAGCTAAACACTCAAGCAGCAGCTTTTAAAGTATACAAATAAATACAGTCCTATGGGACTACAAATGTAAGCAATGGTCACCAGAGCCAGGCATTCTGGAGGTATCCCGTGGGCAGCACCAGGTTCTAGACAAATGTGTAAGTTCCTTTCTGGGAGATACTGGCAAGCTGTAGTGAGGCAGAGGGAAAGTACAGAGATGGCTTCCACCAGTTTATGTTCCCTGAGAGCACCTTCATAGGTTCCTGGATGGTGTGTCAAATCCAAATCCTGGGCCTCATGCCAAAGCTCCAGAAAAGCAAATAGGTAGAAAAAATTATTTTAAAATGCTTTCCATTAAGAATTATGAACTATTTAATCCCTAAAGTATCTTCTGTACATTCAATATTTTCTTTCTTTCTTTGAATATCACCTGTAAGCAACCTGCAAAGCCACGGTTTTACCATCTACTCATTTACATTTTGTCTACTTCCTTTGTTGAAAATCAGACTCTGGCTCCCAATTTTCATTTCTGTAATGACATAACTCCATTGTTTTGTTTACTAATTATCAATTAAACATGACACATTTCTATCACCTCTGTAAAAATGATAAAGGAACATCAGAGATCAAAAAAGATTTTTAGGGGGTGCCTGGCTGGCTCAGTTGATGGAGCATGTGACTCTTGATCTCAGGGTTGTGAATTTGAGCCCCATGTTAGGTGTAGAGATTACTTAGAAAAAAGGAGATTTTTAAAATGACTAATAAAATGGTCAATTATACAACAAAGCTGTTCAAGAAACAAAGATGAAATACATAAATAAATGATATTAAATAAACTAACTACAAATGACAACAATTTAACTGGTAAGTACAGCTTTAATAAGAAATGGATAGCAATGAATTTAAAAACAAATGACACTGTAAAAGAAAACATAGTTTTCCTCTGCCCGATTCTGAATAGTGTAAATACAATGATATATATAAACATAGAATATAAGTGTAAACTGATACAATTATTTTATAAAATCTTTTGGCACTATTGACTACAGCTGAACACATGCATAATACCCTACAACTAACCAATTCTACTCCTAGCAGAAATGCATATATATATATATATATATATATATATATATATACACACACACACATACATAAAGCAGAAGATGGGCATAAAAATGTTGATAGTAGGCTACCATGTCTAGTACTCCACTAATCACAGCAGACTAAAAAGACTAAAAATGGAAACAATCTAATTGCTATCTAGAGTAAAATGATGCATATATTATGATTTGTTAATTCAAAGGAAGAGTAGGCAGCACTGCAGCTACATGAAACGATAGAGGATCAGTCAACGCTACCCATAGGAAAGAAGAGAGCTCGGAAATTGATACAACTATATATGGAAAAAAAGATAATGCCAGAAAAATAATAGAAAAACACTAAGTTGTTTAATAGGTGGTGGCTCATTATGTGAAGAAAATAATGTGAATACATACTCTAGATTATATACAAGTGGATTCCAGATGGATTTATAACCTATATTTGAAAGGTCAAGATATAATGCATATAAATGAATAGATAGGATAAATATCTTCATAACTCTGGGCAGGAAAAGATTTTTCATAAGACTCTAAAAAAGTAGAAAGTATGAGGTCAAAAAGCGTGTGTGTGTGTGTATATGTGTGTGTAGGGGGGGTGGTTTGGCTTAACAAAAGTGAGCTTTTTCTTAAAAAATAAAATATCCACAGACAACATTAATGGTTAGATGAGTAGATGAGAGAGAAGAAAATAAAACATTTAAAACCAACATTTAATTAATATAGAGGGTGGAATGTATACAGCACTCTGTAAATTAACAAGAAAAGGGCACAAAATTAAATAGAAAATGGACAAAAGGTATGACCAGGCAACTCAGAAGACTGCATAAATATGGGAAGAGATGCTCAAAACCACTTGTCACCAGAGAGTTGAAAATAACAACAGCAATAAACTATTACACATAGTAACAAAATTGGTTTAAAAAAAAGAAAAAGAAAAGAAAAGAAAATTCAGTAATATCAAACTTTGGTGAAGATGTGCACTAGGTGAAAGTAGAAACTCTGACTGCCATTCAAGGACAATCATGGAGAATTTAGTTAATCAGGTGTTCGCTCTCCCTATGTCCCAGCAACTATAGTTGAAAAATTATTGCGCAGACCCATAAAAGAACATCTAAAAGGGCATTCATCAGAGTGTTGTTTGTGGAGATAGAAAGCCATGTGTCCGGGGCGCCTGGGTGGCTCAGTGGGTTAAAGCCTCTGCCTTCAGCTCAGGTCGTATCTCAGGGTTCTGGGATCGAGTCCCGCATCCGGCTCTCTGCTCGGCAGGGAGCCTGCTTCCTCCTCTCTCTCTCTCTCTGCTTGCCTCTCTGCCTACTTGTGATCTCTCTCTGTCAAATAAATAAAATTTAAAAAAAAAAAGCCATGTGTCCATCACTGGGGAGTGGGGAGAGCTGTACAAATAAAATAAATCACATACATACTAGTGTGTGGCAGGCAGCATTAAGAAGAAATGAAGTAAACAAAGTATTGAAAAAAAAAGTAATATAGAGAATGAAGTCTACGGCTTCAGTGGCCATTCATCCCAGTTTGTCAAGGCAGTTGCAATCCATATCTGTTGTCTCAGTGTAAATATTAATAGCACTATCTTTCATTTTCAACAGTTTACACAATATAGTGTATGGCCACCCTACCTGTCAATATTAAATCACAAAAAGCTCAAAACCGTACCACTTATATTTGCTACATATATATTTAAGGACATTTATTGGCAAGGGGGTTTATATTAGGATGATAAATGAGACAAAGGAAATGAAATAAAAATGTATAACTGTGCTATACAACTGAGTATAAAATACTGCTTTAAGGTACAAAATAGTAGTATAAATAAATATCTAATAAATAATATATTTATTCTTATAAATATAATTATATAAATAATACAAATTATTTATTATATTATATAAAAATAAATATAAATTATATAGATATAAATATAAATAAACTATAGTTTGAAAAAAAATACACTTACAGTACTTCTGGTACTAAAAATGAGGTAGTTTGGGCTGTTAGTGGAATACCTGTGGAGGAAAAAGGGCAAATACAAACATTAAAAATAATTTCTTCTCCAAATAAGAGGGATTCTATAGTAAGCCCAGAAGTAGACATAAGTAGGTAGGGAAATTTTGTATAGGACAGAGGTGGTGTTCAATAAATAGAGCTGGAAAATGGATTTGGATTCATAAGGAGAAAGAACTAATCACAGTCCTACCTAGATCATTGAAGAAAAGCAACTCCATTGGGATAAGAAATGTTAAAACATTAATACTCTTAGGAGAAAATTTAGGTAAATGTCTCTTAGATGTTGGGAAGAAAGAATTATTTAAATAAGACATCTACCTTGAATTCTCCATCCTCTCCCCCAAAGAAGCTAACAATAAAAAAAACATTACATGAAATTTAAGAAATTTTAAAAGAACACCTTATTAAGATATAAAATTCAAGGAGCCTGTGACTACCATGATAAACAATAATATCTTTGTCTTCATTAAACTCTCATTGAAAATTTAGGGAAGGGAAAGAAATTTAGCGTTCTCTTCAGTTATGAAGCTATACGAGGGGTTGGCAAGCCAAGGCCAAATTCCACCTTTTTTGTAAATACATTTTCATTGACACACGGCCACATCCATTGGTTTACTACTGTTGGGGTGCGCGTGGCAGAGTTGGGTAGTTAAACACGGATTGTATCAGCTGAAAAGCCTGAAGTATTTACTACTTGGCCCTTACAGAAAGTTTGGTGACCTCTGGTGTACAGTATAAAGTTTTGAAGTCCCCAAATTCACAGGCCATCCTTAATAATATCCCTTATCCACATCGATCCATTGTTTGCCAGGCACGTGATGGGAGTTAAATGTATTTTCGCATTCAAGTCTCACAAGAATCCCATGAGACAGGTTTTATTTTCTTCACTTTATAGAGGAGAAAACAGAAGCTTACAAAGTTCTGTCAGAATGCTGTCTTTTTTCTTTTTCTCACCACTTCACTTACCCTAAGGCTACTCTTACTCTCTTCGATGCCCCCAACCATCTGTCCAATGAGGCGCCCTGGATCCCTTCCCTCTGAAATTTCTGTAATAGTTTAATGAATTGTCGGAATTTTTACATCTTAATGTTAGAGAGTACTAATTAGTCATAGCAAGACCTCCATTGAATGGAATGTTCACAATATTATTTTTCGGGTTAATTATCTGTATTTTAACCCGTTGAAAATCTAAAATATTTTGATACACTTCCCAGTCCAGCAGTTACTGAACACTGAACAAAAATCACACTTGCACTGAGGATTTCTCAGAACTTGTAAAGCTTTCACTCCCTAAATCAGATCTCAGACTCAACTCTCAGTCCTTCTGCAGGAATTACATCCCCTTCCATCTGCACAGTGCTTACATTTTATAAAGCACTTTTCACCAATCACTCCTACACCCGCTTCACATAGACCATCAACTACCTAGTTATCCTTGAGAAGTGGCCTCGCCCCCCGCCTCCGCTCCCCAGGGGCGACTTTGGGGCTCTCATTTGCTCCTCTCCGGCAAAACAAGGTTGCCGCGGCAGAAAAGGAGTTTGGGGGTTCAGCTGTCCCACGAAGTTACCCAGACCCTGGAGGAGCAAAGCCCTAACACTGCTCGTCATTCTCCGTCCTCATCCAGCCGAAACTCTCGGGAGGGGCGGCGGGGCGGCGCCACTACTGGGCGCCGGGAGCCGGGGCTCCGGGTGGTGGTCCCCGGGGGCGGGGCCCCAGGGGCGACCCCCGCCCAGTGCTCCGGGGCGCCACTGGCGTCTGTCTACCTCCACACGGCCCAGCCGTAGCAGCTCAGCCACGACAGCAGCACCGCCACTCCCTGGGCTGACATGGCGGCCGAATAGCCTCCGCCCAACCGCCCAGGCCGCGCCCGCCCTGGCCTCGCGCGCTCTCGGGGGGCGCCGCCGGACCCGCGGAGGAGGCGCTGGGGTCCGCGCGCGCCCCGGGGCGGGGCGGGCTCGGCTGTGCCCGCCCGCGAAGGCGACTGCGTGTGCGCATGCGTGCCAGCGCGCGCGCCTCTACCTGGTTTGCTAGGAACGTCGCCGTTGGTCGGAGTCGAAAATATAAACCAGTCTTGAGGAAAGGCAGAAACCGTGCTGTTTTGGAGTGAGACAGCAAAACCACTTCGGAAAATCCCTGACTGAACGAAGGTGAAGCTTTTAAGTTACGGTATCTTAGCCCAAATTTTCGTTGTGACCGTATATCAATACTGCGATAACAACGTAATCTGGTTCGTGCTTTTCAAGATGAGGCGTTCCATAAATGGTTAATAAGTTCAACGGATGGGAACAGTAACGTGTACTTACTGAGCACCTCCTTTAGGTCCAACACCACCTTGCACACTTGGGTACAAAGAAATAGGACAGCTTTCTGGTTTACGAAGGAATTTGTAATCTTGTGGTGAAGCCAAAATAAACAAATACCAAAATTGTCACATAGTGTTATAATTTATCTGTTTATTTGTGGGTAGACCAAATAATCGGAGTCCTTGAGTGCTGCAACTCTACCTTTACTCCTCTTTATGTCCTCAGGGCCCAGAACCTGCATAGTTTGTAGTGGGTCCTCAATGTTCACCGACAACGAATCATTGAGTAAAACTGGTGTCATACAACAATACGCCCTAGGGGCCGTTAGAGAGCGTGATTGTGTGTATATGATGTGTATGTAGTAGACACTGAATTTAATGTGACTATTCCCACTTTTAAATCCTGTAAAATAAGGGTAAGATAGTACTACTTACATGGTTGTGGGATTTAAAAGAGCGAAGTGCATCACAGGATTTGGTACAAACTATACATCACTATTAACCTCCTCCTCTCTGAGCCTCTGTTACTAATGTGTAAAATAGAAAGGTTCGGACTTTACTTGAGCCCTAGATTTTCAGTTCTAGGGTCCTCTATTGCTCTACTTTGGAATACACCCTTTTCGATCCCCGTCCCCTCTCTGTTCTTACTTGTAGAACTTTCGTTCCCAATTCTGTATCTGTACGTTTCCATTCCATCCCATTTGTATTTTGGAATTCCACCCTTTGTGCTTCGCACACAGTACCCCTACCCTTAATAAAAACAAGTCGTCAAAAAATAATTTGAAAACGCCTTCAGAGAGGGTGACCTGGAGACGACAAACAGCATGGCACCAGAAAACGTCGCCTCGGCCCAGGGCGTTGCATGCCGGGAGTTGTAGTGCGACGCTCGAGCACGCACCTCCGCGCCTCTCGGGTTTGAAAAGCGGGAGAAGGGCAGGTAGGCGGGGCGTCGAGGCGAAGCGCGCTGGAGGCCCCGCCCCTGCCCCCTTCCGCTCGCGGGGCTCGCTCTGGGGTGGTGCGCCAGGCTGCGGAAGGGGCGTGGCCTCGGTCCCGGGTGGCGGCGGTTGCCGCCACCTGGGCCTCTTCCTGCGGGCGGTGCTGCGGCTGCCGGCCTGCGCGGGGCAGTCATGGTCGCCCCTTGAGTGGGCTGTGGCGGAGAGCGGGGCGGGGCCTGGCTGGAGGGTGGTGGCCCGGCGGGGGCGGGGGCGGGGGCGGGGCCGGCCTCTGGCTCCTTCTTCCTCCGCATGTGGCTGGCGGCCGCAGAGCAGTTCAGTTCGCGCACTCGTCGTCCCCCGCGTCTCTTTGGGGCTCTCCTCGCGTCACTGGAGCCATGGCGTTCGCCGAGACCAACCCGGCGGCATCCTCCCTGCCCAACGGCGACTGTGGCCGCCCCTGGGCGCGGCCCGGGGGGAACCGGGTGACGGTGGTGCTGGGCGCGCAGTGGGGCGACGAAGGCAAAGGGAAGGTGGTGGATCTGCTGGCGCAGGACGCCGACATCGTGTGCCGCTGCCAGGTGAGGCGACCGGGCTGTGACGGGAAGCCGGGCCCGAGGGCGCGGGCGCGGAACCCGGATCCATCGTCCCAAAGAAGGTGTCACCTTGAGGTTCTCTCCCGCTCGGAGCTGCGGCGACGTGGAGAAATGGCGGGAGGTCAGAGACCCCTGACCTGAGGTCTTGGGCTGAGGGTTGCGGTGGCGCTGGAGGAAACCAGGGTGGACCCGGAGTCCCTGAGAGATGCGCGATGCCTGGGGAGTAGCAATTTTCCGTCTGGGGGCCAGTGCCCAGCCCCGAGCTTGGGGCCGGGGTGGGGGTGGGATACGGTCTGAGTTGGAGGAGCTGCAGCCAGAGGCCTGCTCCCGACTCCGGGCGGAGACCCCTCGCGGCCGCGAGCCCCCACCCCCATCGCCCACCCACCCAGCGAGACCAAGTGGGACTGGATTGTTCCGACGCGCCCGAAAAGCCACTCGCCATTCCCCCACCTGCAGGCCCCCGGTGTTCAGACCTTTGCCGCCTCCGGTCCACTTTGTTGACATGAGAACCCATCCCCGCCTTTGGACGGTTAATGGCCCGGGTTTTTGACTCCGTATCCCGCGTGTTGATATTAAGGGTAGATGATTTTTACTCGTTGGTCCCAGAGGAGAGAATCCCAGCTCTTTTGCGAGTGAGACAAGTAACTACGTGGATGTCAGATCTGGTGTTTAGAAATATTTACATTGTTACGCTCACATGGAAAGTGAACTTTCGGGAAATGGATTGGTAATGTACTTCCTACCGGGAGACACGTGGTTTTCAGTGTAAGCTTTCTTCCTATTTGTCGCTTGCTTTGAAGCAGCCTCTAGGCTACGCTTTTGTAAAGGCTCTTAGATAGCTATTACCAATTTCAAAATTCGAGCTAGTTGAGCAATAACCACTTTCAAAACAAATTGTAATATGTCTGAAACGAGCTGCTGTTTACCTCGCGACAGGGTTTCTTCTTCATGAACATGGCACAATGAGGATGCCATGCTGTATATGTTCTAACAAGTTAGTAGGCCCGCTGGATTGAAAGCCTTCACCTGAAACTGATTATCATTCTGAGCACGCAGGAACAAAGGTAATCACACGCACAGAGAAAGCTAAATACAGAGATTCTGATTTGTCTTGTTTTTTGCATGCAGAAACTCCCTGCCCATTTCTTAGCTGAGATAGGTGTTGCCTCTTAGTATTACCACTGGCACCCCACCACCTCTCCCCACCTTTGAATCTCTATCCCTCCCCCTCTCTGGGGATGTACTTACCTGATTTAGTATCTTACTTCTAAGCTTGTTTCCATTGAAGTCCTGCCCAACATTGCCTAAGAAGTTGCTCTGCAAGTCAGTTTTCACCCTGCTTTTGTCTTAAAATCAGATCTGGCCATGCTGTAGGGAAAGAAGTATGAGAATACCTAACTCTTGTTGGGAAAAAAAGGGAGAGAGACTGGGCCTGTTTGTCCCCTTCCATGTTGTTCCGGAGCTCTTCCTTTTCTGGAAATAGTAATACTTAGTCTGAGTTACATTATGGATTGTAAGAAGGTTTGGGAAATGTAATAATAAGTAGCATTTGTTCTAAAAGATCCTCAATTGTAATGTTTCTTTGAAAAATAGTGGAATTAGTTTGTAGAATGGAAGAGATGTTACAATGTTATCATGAATGTCCTCTTGAAGAAGGTCATGGACCAATCCCATCTGATGCCCTTGGAAAGCCTAGAGAGAAGTCATTGAGAAGGAGCCAAGTTTGGCTTTAAACTGTTAACTGAAGATAGAGGAGGAACGTTTGAGCAAACCTGTTAGGCCGACTTTCCTCTCCTGTAAACTTCAACTTCCTGCAAACTTTATATAATTCTAAAATCTTCATATGCTGGTGCCTTTTAAGAACTCATCATTAGAAGGATTCTTACTAGTTTTGTTAGTGAAAGTAGACACAGAATGAATAGATTGAAGCGTATCTCTTATGATTCACTTTGGTTAACTTTATATTAATTGGCCAACTCTAGCAAGCTGACTTCGTAATGAAGTTCTCCTGGCTTATAAAACTGAAGACTACCGAATGTTGAAATTCTTAGTGTGTGTAGAACTCTGGGGTAAGTCAACATTAGAGAAGGTATTTTAAGCTTGAATTGCCTTGTTTGATCATTTTAAATTTTGTGTATACTGAAAACAGTTACTTTGTTGGAGTTTAATATGTATTTTTGGTCATATTTATGCCCCAAACTCAAATTTTATACACATTCTTTCTTGAGCAGTGGTATACATATAATGTATCCATAGTTTAACAATAGAATCATAAGAAATTTTTTCCAAAATAAAGTTTTTAAAAGAAAAACTGACATTGTACTTAAATGAATATTTTAATATATCAAATGCCTTTTGGAAAGAGTAGATGCAAAGATAGTGGCATTTTCATCATCAGTGCACTTAAGGCCTATATTTCAGATTCAGGATTTTTATGCAGTTATTTATAATTTGGTAAATTCTCTAGATCCATAAATATGTGTATAGAACTTGCATCAAAGGACAATCACTAGAAACATCTTAATTTTAAACTGATGTCTTTCAAGACAAAGAAGTGTAGGACTCCAGGCCTAGTTCATTTATCCAGCAATCACATAATGAGGATCTACAGGTGATAGTCTTACGGAACTGCTTGGCCCCAGAGTTAAGAAGTTTAAAATGCAGGGATTGTGCCCACAAGTAACTTACAGTCTACTGGACGACTGCTACATAAGCAGGTATTGCCAAGGTCGGGTGGAGAAGGATACTGGTACAGGTTTTTCAAAGAGTTAAGGTATGGGCAGAGGAAAGCCCCTTTCTGGCAGCTTAAAAGTAGGCTTGTTAGAAAGTCTCTTGCTGTCTCCCCCTCCCCTCCAGATCCTCCAAAGTAAACTGTTATAGTTTATTTTCTTTATTTTGTTGAGTAGAAACTACAGAGATTTTAACTGTTGCACTTTCTACTGCTTCTTAAGCGAGGGCTTACTTAGTGTTCACCTGGAAAGCAAACATGGTAGTCTTGGAAGTTGC